CCAACAGCAGAGTATCAATATTCTTGCAGCGCATTTGCAGTGCTGCAAGGAAGACAGTTGAGGGGGGGCAGGGAAACGTTACACCTCTTGTGCAACAACGGCTTTAGGGTGGGGATGCTCGAAGCAAATAATTTGAAATAACGCTCTTGCATGCTGTGAGGTCACGGCGGGTTGAAAACCTGCACCCGCGACCTTACGCTCTGAAACAGGATTTCCCTAGACTCCCAACAGGTTTTCACAACAGTGAGAGGACTCCGTGACTGCGAGAGACCCCGCATCATTCAATCATCCGCGCCAAGGTGCTGGCAATCAGGATGCCGACCTGTGCGCAGAATGCTCTGGTGCAAGGAAGGGACCCAAGAGTTCGAATGAGGCTGCGGGTGGACTATCCTAGTATTTCTGGCAATGCACGACGGGATTCTTCGGGCACAAGTGTTTGAGGTGCTAACCAGGAACCTAAACACCGAAAGCTCGACACAGCAAATTTGTAACTCCCCTAAACCCCCAATTCCCAAACCCATAAGCCATAAACCCCTGAACTTAAAAGCTGGTCAGCCCTAAAACCCCAAAGGCCTAAACCCTACACCCAAACACCCTGAGACGTAAGCCCAAACACCCTAAATCCAAACACCCTAAACCCTAAATGCAAACACCCTAAGTCCTAAATGCAAACACCCTAAGCCCTAAATGCAAACACCCTAAGCCCTAAATCCAAAAACCCTAAATCCAAACACCCTAAACCCACCCCAACATCCTGCAGTGCCTAGCCTGGCCAAGAATAGGCCAGAGCATGGACACGCCAACTGTCAGCCAGACCATGTCAGAAAGCTGCCCCCTGTAGGGTTTAGGGCTTAGGAAGGCTTCTGGGCTGGGCGTTGAAGGTGTTAGGGGGAAGTTTAAGCAGGGAGGTTGCATGCAAACAGGGGATGTAGTAGGGCTTAAGGTCTAAAATCTAGAAGTTTGAGGAGAGGGGCTGTACCATCTAAACTCATTCACTTCAAAAATAGCTTATGGGCCCTCTTATCACCCATCCCTACAACCACAACTCTACAAGAAGGATTCCATCATGTCAGAGGATCTAAATCTAAGGTTTAGGGTTTAAGGTTTAGGGTCTAGGGATTGAGGTTTTTGACTTAGGGCTTGGGATTCAGGGCCTAGGGCTTAGGGGACCGTAGTTCCAAGTCGAGGGTCACCATTGTCTGCAAGTAGGTCTGATGGCGGCCAAACGCCAGACTTTGCATCAAGAAACCTGAGCTGCTGCTAAAGTGTTTGCCTGAAAATGTAACATAAGAGTTCGGCTTTCAAAGCTTCATTCACTCAGGGCTTTCTGAGACGGTATAAAAAATATCTCTGGGATCATGGGATACCAAGAAGCGGCTGCTCAACGTGTAGAAGCCGTTGTAGTGGAAGGAATCCTTGCGTGGATCGCTGTTGGCTGAAGGGAGGTGACAGCGGTATGGGGTTTATGGTTCCTTGTGCTCTTCTGAGGGCAAGGGGGGGCTTCGAACATCGGATCTACCTGAAAAAAAGCTTTCAGGTGAATGCTTGCAGGCTCGTATTTGGTAGAACAGGCAACCTTGCGTATGTCCTCTGCGCCTAATATTTTTGCTGGCTCTTATTACCCAATGCAAGAAGCAACCGCACCAGCATACCATGTGTAATCCCAATGCAGCTCCCATAGTGGCCAAGAACTCCCTCCCTCGATTGACAACTTTCAACAGGCGCTGTGATTTGAGTCTGGGTGCGTGTAGGGGCTTAGAAAGTTTCTTGCTCCCCGGAAATTGCAGGGCTTCATTCACCGGGACTTAAATGATTTGGCGGGACTTGTGAAGTCATGTTGGAGCTTGTTGTGGGAGTGACACTCGGCGACTGTCGAGGCCTGATCATTTCAGCAGGGATGTAGAGAAGCGATTAACCCATATGGCCTGAAATTGTAGTGAATACTCTTGCTACCCTCTACTCGAAGGGATGGCTACCTGGAGCTATAAAATGTATAGATCATGCGGATGACTATAATAGGCAACTGGAGCCCTGGACTTCAAAACGTTGTACGATTGCAAACGGTCAGCCCTCAATCCCTAATCTCTAAGTCCCGCCTACCTATCCACATACCAGAAACTGCAGCGAAGATGCGATGACCCCAATGGCTGTAAGTTTCTCCACAAGAGGGCTCTGGAACAGCACCTTGAAACTTCTGTCAAGAGAAGGCGTTCTTGGGAACATGCACAGTTGACTTGCCGTGCCGTTACCTGCTGTGCACCTCATCGTCCATAGCCAGCGTTCTGGAATTCTTCGGGGTTCAATCCCATGCTGGCTTGAACGAAGAAATCTGTAGCCACCCGCTTTTCAAGCCTTTACGTAAGGTGGGTAATTAGGCCCGAATCAAACCCATTCCCTTTGCCTTGGCTGAATCCTTATGTGATTGCAACCACAAAATAGCCGAAACCCCCAAACCTATATTCCGTTTGAGCCATGAGCCACATGTGCTACCACGACAAGGGGCACGTTTAGAAGCGGGGTCTCTATGTGGAACACTCGCCCCAATGTTGCACTCCGTATAATAACCTGGCTTACCTAGGAGCTGTGTTGTTCAGGGATTACAGGTTCCTTTTTGGGATATGGGTAAACATTCGAGCTTGACGTTCTTTATCGGGCTTTCGTGTCATTAGAACAATGACCCAGGTGAGCGCTAAACCTTGAGCCATCCCTAAACATAATGATAGAAGGCCAGTTTTGCCCTTCACTGCTCCACTTAGATGGGCCCTAAATCCACACCCCAAACCCTAGCCCCTTACTCAAGACTCCTTCCTCTAAACCCTGAACCCTATAAGTGCTAATCCTATAGACACCGTCCTAAACCTATGTAGGCCATCGGAAGGATTCACGCCTTCAGGGCCGCCGTGGGCAGAAGATTGGACCAGGTGAAGCGGATGCGCTTCTCTTCCGGAAGCGACTCTGGCAGCCTAGGACTTCTAGTGAGGTTTAGAGATTAGGAATGATTAGGCTTTGGGGTTCATGGCTTGATTCAGGGCCTGGGTGTAGAGTTTGCGTCTCAGGGCTTGGGGTGAGAGTGAAGTAGCTGGAGATCATTTGTTGTTCAGGGCTTTTGGCATAGGAGCAGGGAACACCAAGAAATTTCGGGGGGAGGCATGCTTTTTCTTCTCTAGAAGGGGATGCCCAAGACTACTAAATAAGCTGGCCATGTGCCATGTTGGTTCAGCTAGTTCCAGGATATCGTTTTTTTTGCCTTCATGAATTTCCTACGAAGCCTTTGGCCAAAAAACAACAAATCCAGTATAAGCCATAAACCCAACCTTCATCAAAAACAAAAGCTTCCTAAAGAAACTCTAAGCGCACAAAGATCGCAAGCAGCAAGCAGATGATCTTCCCCAGGAATCCAATCCTTCGAGCTGCCAGAGGGTAGATGTTTTGAGGGCCTAAAGGCTCATAGGGATTAGCAATCGGTTGATTGCAAAAATGCTTCAAAGGGCATACTAAAAATTACTCTTATGATCTTCAGGCACGACAACTGCACGTCTCGTCTAGCAGCCCACCTACCCTCTAAGTGCAGTTCGTTTGGCTGGTGCTGAAGGATTCAACGGCGCCTGGGGTGTATGGCTAAGATTCCAGGGTGGTGCCAGCCTGGATGGCAGGATTGCGGCTTAGGATTCTGAGCATATAACAAAATTTGATAAAGTTGCTCTTACGTTTCTGGCGCACAGAGCTTTGAGCAAAACGATAGCCTTCAGAGCCTCCTGCTAGGGTTTCCTGACGCCCTTTGCCATCCATATGAACGCAGTGGGCCCAGAACCTCAGCGAGGGTGCACTTTTGCGATCTAAGTGTGAACGCTCCATCCTAAGCCTACAAAAGAATAAACCCTATACCCTAAATAGTAGTCTCCATTTTCTTTTCCAATATCCCCATATTATCCCTATATAACCCCAAGGATGCCCCCATATTCACCCTAAACCACCCGAAGCCTTCATCTCTGAGCCCGGAAGCCCAACCCTTCGACCCTACACCACGTGAGGATTTCCTCTGCCGCTTCAGGCGGAGCTGTTCTTAGGATTTCACCCACCCAATCGCCAACGCAGAAAAGAACCCACTACTTGAAGGCTGGAGCCCAACGATCAAAGCCGACGATTCAAGACTCAAGCCCCTCAAACCCCCATGTTGTTTAGGGTTTAGGGCTTCGGGTTTCAGAACTGCGGGGCCGACCTGATATACTGAGTAAAATCCTTAATAAGGGGACCCGCAACCCCCCTCAATTCTTAAACCCCCACACAAGGCTTGAAACCTTCAGTCCCCAACCTCGGAGGCTCCTGGCTGCACCTGAGGTGAGCCTTTGGAAGCCTCTGACAGCCCTTCTTCAGCTATGTGCAGACTATGTGCATGATTTCTACTGCTTGGGTTGTAGAGTAGCTCAACTCAATGTCCGCCAGAAACAAAAAGAACAACAGCAGACAGACAAGTGCAAGTCCAAGGGTCAGCATGGCAGCCTTCAGACTCAGGAAGCCACCCAGCATGGAGCCCACAACAGATGCTAAGGTGCAAGAACTCTCCTGCAAGTTTTGCATATGATGGCCATGGGATTTAGGGACGAGCACCTAAAGAATCAGTCCCCATAGATCAGCTGTATGCACTTTCTTGGGAAGTCTAGGTCTCAAAGGGGGGGGAACAGGGAGACCTAAAGTGTGGGGACTTCCTAGGTATCCTAGGATTTTGCGTAGTGAGGTAAGTGGCGGGCTTATACACTCCCACTAGAATGCGAACTGTTTCATAAGGACTCCACGGAAGGCACCTGAGATTCTAAGGGTTTTGCGAGTGCAGTACTTTGGGTGTGAAGTCTATGTTTATCGGCTCTCCGTTTTGCAATGCTGCAGAAGCACATCAACAGCAGCAGGGTCTCGACCCTAAGGTTTCACGTGGTTTGCGGATTTTGCTCTTGGCTGCAAGACTTTAAACCGGCAACGCGCAACAGGTCATCCAGGAGCCAGAATGGGCCTTGAAGCCTGAAGCTTAAGATCTGTGGCCTTTGTAGGGTTGATAGGGTTTAATTTGGGTTTATAGGGTTTACAGGGGTTATTGGGTTGGGATTTGTTTATGCTGACATGCTTTTCAGCCCCGATCTCCACCAGGGCCGTGGCCATCACAATGGATGGAGTGTGATCTATGCGATCGATGTACCACGCCAGCGGTACTGGCAGGAATGGGATCATGCCAACAAAGCCGATGTAAAAGTCAATCCAAACAGACCTTGGGCTGCCAGGCTGATCATGTGACAGACCCATTGGGGTAATATTACAATGATTTTTTAGGGATAATGGAAAATAGAATGGAAACTACTATAATGAGTTATATAGGGATTATAGGGTATATATTGGGGTTATACCTAGACCATGGTCTCGGGGATGCAAAGACTAAGTTGGGGAAGAGCAGTTCGGGGTGGCACCTGGCAAGGGCTAGGGCTTCTGCAAGAGACCAAGCCGACTAGCGATGGCGAAGTTAAGGAACTGTGCACAGCTGAGGAAAACAACAATGCTGGAGGTAATTGTGAGAAGATACTGTATACGGATAAACCATAATCAAAGGTAGCAGCAAACATTTTAGCAGGCGTTTTTTTGCCTCAAAAATTGTTAACGACTCGGGCGATTTTGGGCCCGAGCTTGCCCAAAATCAGAGAAATGAGCGACGGCAAGAACTTGCAACTTACGTGCTGAGCGGTTGAGGTGCACCGAAGCGCAGACTCCTGCACGCAAAGCAGGGTACTTCGGTCCTCACCTTGAATTCTACGCCTGAGACCCAATCCTGTAAACCCTAGGCCCTAGGAAGTCACTACACATGAAAACAATCAAGCTACTTCAATCCAAACTATGCTGAACTTGGAACCCCCGTCAAAATCATATATGTTGCTGTCTCTTAGGGTTATAATACGCAAGCAGGAAAATTTATTCATTTGTACCCTGAGCTTGCTGGCTCTTAGTAGGGAAGGTAATATTCTATATGGGGATTACATAGGGATTGCACTCCCTTATTCCCTATTTGTTTTTTGAAAAAAAAAGGCGCGTCTTTCAGAGGCTCTTCGTCCTGCAAAGCATGTATCTTCGTTGCAAGGACATCTCAAAGCGAACTCCTTATCCCCCATTAGGGTTCAGGGCTTAGGGTTTAGTGTTCAGGGTTTGAGGGCAACATACTTATATGACCCTGCACAAGCCTGCACAACTCCTACACACAAGCTGTTTCCCAACCTCACACAATTCCTACACAAGCTATTTCCCAACCTCAAGAACCCCCCTAAACCCTAAACCCCAAACCCCAAACCCTAAACCCCAAATCCTAAATCCTAAACCCTAACCCCAAAAGTAGGCGCCCGAAGACAGGTCGAAGCAGGCCACAGCCGCCCCAGCGGCCGTCGAGATCCTACCGGTTAAAAGGGTTTAGGGTCTCGGGTGTAGAGGTAAAGGGTTTAAGTTTAGGAATTTAGGGGCTTACAGGCTTATGCAAGCAGTCACTGCGGACAATCCAGGCGAGATGCACGCCAAGATGCTTAGCGATAAGTCTTGTAACGTCCGAATTCTCAATTCAGGCCCCTCACCGTTGACGCGTGGCCTTTGCCAACTTCACATAATCATTCCACACCTCAACCGGACTATACAAAGGAATAAGGCAGATGATTGCCTGTACCGGGTTTAGGGGTTTAGGGTTTGGAGGGTTAGGAGCTTGGGGTTTAGGGATTTAGGGGTTTAGGGATTTAGGGTTTACGGCTAAACCCCTCCCAGCAGGGACCCTTACTCTAGTTGATATATGTGCATATATACATACATGTATACATGTCCAGCTTATTAGGGGATAGGGGGGCCCAGCCCTGGAGAATTGTATGTGTGGGTATATATATATGTATAGGTTATACAAGGATGGGGCCCATAATGGAGAGTTGTACATATATATACACATATATGGGGCCCAATGATGGAGAACTATATCCACATGTACACGTTATGTTGGGGATATGGGGCGCCCAACAACGGAGAATCAAAGGGGAAAGAAGTTGGAAACTAACAATTCTTGAGGGTTTAGGGATATTATCCCATTAGTGGAGCATCAAATGACTGGGATCAAATATGCAGGGAATTATGGGGGGAGGGGGGGGGTGGCGCGAACCGATATTTCTCATCATGCAAGGGAACCACATACCACACAAGCGCCCTGCGAAGACAAACTGAGCCCTTATGCCTTGAAACCTAGGCTCCAAGATAGTCTACCCTGAAGCCTAAACCCCTTTGAAACTTAGCCCGCTTAAATCCTGACTTGTAAGCCCGCAATCCCGATTGAACTCTAACATGGCTGAGGCTCGCCAGGGCAATGCGAATAAGAATCACAGCTGGTCGTCGGCCAAACGCATCGCTGATGGCCCCCAGGGCCTATGTTGAGGGCTTAGGCGTTTAGAGTTTAGAGCTTAGAGCTTTCCAAATTGGGATGTGAGGGTTGGGGCGAATGTAATGGCTTATAATCACGGCTTTAGATTGCGCTTGTGTAGGCTAAGTGTGGGGCTTAGCTACCGGTCACATAGATATAGGGCTTGTAATGAGAGTGTGTGCGCTTCATGCGGTGCCCTAGGGCAAACGAAGAGGGAGAACTGATGCAGGTTTAGTTACCAGGGTTCAGGTTTAGGGCTTTGCCCTTGGAGTGCATGGGGTGTGGGATTAAGGTCCCTAGCGATTCAGGAAACAGGCCTGCGTAGCTATGGAGAACTCCTCACACTACGTTCAAGAGCAACTGACTTCAATCATACTGCCAAGAAGACCTGCTGCAACAAGCTTTAGACATGTCCTTCCTGAAGCCTTTGTGCAGATTGTGATTCTGGATTATTCACCAGGATTCTGGTAGACAACAACCATACCAATCAAGGTAACTACCTTTAGCTTCACCCGCCCTGCACAGTCGCATCATTTAAAACACCTACGTAGGCCTTACCATTCACCTTATCCTTTTTTAAAGGGTGTTTGGTGCTGTGCGCCGTTGCTTGGCTGAAGGCGCTGAGCTGTGGACGAACTGTATGTTAAAGCGGAACATGTTTGGCGCAATGCGCAACTTGAAAAGGCCCCAAACCAAAATCGTGCAACGCGCAGTCCTAGGAAGTATCTCTGGTCCTCCTCCGAATTATTTCGACGCTTCCCCTCTTGCAGTTCTTGTCAGTATTCTTCGTTGCATTATCCTGTTTCACCTCGATTGCTGCTAATTTTTCATGCCGGCGAGAAAAATCATTATGCAGGTAACGACCGAATCCAACCATAGCCAGGGAGCTGGTCCGGCAAAGAACTGCATGACAGGCAACGCAAAACCTGCGATTGAGCCGGCAGGAAGTCGCATCAGGTTTTGGGCACATGGCTGAGGACATCGTAGTGTCGTGCATTACGCTATTTCGTGGTACCATGCCAGATCTGCTACATTATAACATGAAAAGGCATTTGAGCTAAGCTTCTATGAGATTTCCAGCGGCGTGGCTTAGGTCCATCGTGGCCACAAACCGGCAACTTTTCTTACCAATCACCCACGCACCCCCCCATCCTCATCCGCTCCACTATGTGCAACCTTGCAAACCCCCACCCTCAATACCATTCACAGACTTCAACATAGAACCAAGCCCGGCGCGTTTACTTCCAAAACCTGACAGGTGCGTGTGCCTCTGATGACTTGTATTTGCGTCACATCCACGACTGCCCGACTGCAGGCGTTGGAGTCCATCTGTGTGGTGCAGTCCTGCTTGGAGTGGGGGTGGAAGTATTTTTCTTATGGGGGTTAATAGGGAGCAAGGGAATAAGATATACAGGGACCATGTATTATATGGAGTATATTCCCATCTTCCCTAGCAACCACCAGTAAGAATTTGGTTTGGTATCAGTCACTTGGAGACACTTGGTTACTGCAGGCGTGTGTAACTGAATAAGAGGTAAACATTCGTACCAAATGCAGCTCATCCTTTCCATGCTTGATTCTACAAACCCTAAACCCTAAACCCTAAACCCTATGCAGCGACTCAGGGCTTGGTGTGTAGGCCAGGGCTTAGGGCTTTCACTTGCTTGATATGCGTTCAGATGCACGAAGCTATGACCCCCTACTCCGGAACCCCCTGGAAGCTTGAGCGGAACTTTCCAACAGTATGGGGTTTCGAGGTGCGATAAGGGTGGAGTAAAGCACATTAAGCTGGCTATGCAGGGGCCATCAAGCGCATCATTTGTGACTGGTACTTCTTCAGGCTTCTTTCTGGCATCAAAAAACTCAGCATGGCTCAGCGTTGAAGGGTCTGAAGGTTTCAGGTCTTTTGCGTCTGGGTTTCACGGCTTCAGGTTTCAGGGGGGTTGTAGGTCTTAGCCAGAACCAAACTGCAACCTTTCTGCAACTACAGCCTTGACCGCAAACACTTGATGAGCCCTCACCCTCAGCGTTTAGGTTCAGGTTGTCTAAACCATTCCCCCCCAAAATCCCTCACCCTGCCTCCTGTTAGCAGGGAATGGAAAGGTTGCACGTTCTGGCCATAATTCGCGTTAAGTACGATTATTCTAGATTTTCTATACTATTCTTACTATTGCGATGCTCCACCGAATTAGTCAGGGGCAATAAACATGGTAATTCGTATGGGGCTGCATTCCCTCTTTTAACGCCAACAGAAAGCAGGGTATCCCATCCCGAGGCAGTCCATGGGCTGGCCGTCAGCATAATGCTTGGCGAAGGAATTCAAGTACATATAGTCCTAAGGATCAGGGAACCCTAAACCCGAAACGCTAAACCGGTGTATAGGGTTAGGGGGGGCTGGGACCTCATCCCTTTGACTTGGCATACCCTAAACTCTAACTGGGAATATCCATACACAGGGGTACCCGTCATGTGCCCCAATATATTAATGTCCTTTCTACAGGTACCTGCAGGTTTGCTCAGGGATTGAGGGCTTCTGTGCAAAGGCGAGGATGCCCCACAATGCTGGAATTGGCTGGAGGGCAGCGCTGACAATCAAGCCAGCCTGATCACAAGTCGATCACAAGTCCCAAGGGCACCTGTAGTGTAGCGGCATCCCTTAGAGAATATTCCGCTTATAGGGAACTACCCAATGTGAGCCACTTATTCTCCCGAGAGATGTAAAGGTATCCCAGTGTGGAAAACCCTGGTATAGAAGCATAAATGTATAAACAACAGGGGCCATCATATGGACCTTGACTGTTCATGTTCTCTGGCAGCTCGTGAGGGACTGGATATACGAGTTGCCTGTTAAAAAGCTAGGGCGTTGGAGGCCTGCGATACCCGACACGTCCTTTGACTCCTCATTCTTAGCAGCTCCTGGGAAGCAAACGTGGAGGCATATCACTATCTATTTCAGACGCTGATGCGTCTACCTCTCACTAGACAGCTCCTTCTTAGTAATAGTAACAATAAAAGGTATAGTAACTGTAACTACTAGCAAATGTAGTGGTATTAATAGCAATGGTAATGGTAATAACAATAATCCCAGAGCATCCGATACTGATTTTTTGAATAGACATATGGATCTTTATGAACAACTCAATATTCGTTGTTTTTTCTAGTTTCCACTTCAAGATCAAGAGAAACCTTCAAGAAGACAGATACAATTTCGATGTACTTTTTTAATGTGAACTGTTCTATTGATTTTGATGTGGACTTTCTGTTGATATTCAAGGTTCCGCATTCGATTGGAAACAAGATGAGCCGATTGATTCTTGCAAAAGTCAATTTTCGTTTGTTTTTGGCAGCCTCTATGGATTGTCTTTAATATTGGATGCTCTGGGATTAATAGAAATGATAATGGTAATCTATGAGCCTCTAAGGTTCCTGCACTCCTCAACTAAGGCGCAGGCCGAGCTGGGCGCAGACACTGCATAGACAAATACAGACAGAGCGTGGATCATCCACATAGGCCCCACCTCAGAGAGCTGCAATGGTTCAGGGTTTAGGGGTTGGGAAACGCAGGGATGCAGGATTTCGGGCTTCGGGCTTAGGATTGCGCTTTTAGGGTTCAGGGCTCTGGGGTTGTAGGCCAGCTTTTGCAACAGGGCATGTAAGTGGCCGTGCTAGGGACACGGCCTCTAACCTGACAACCTACACCGTCTAGGCTGCTGGCAATAATAATAATCGACCAAAACAAGCAGCGCACTCAGCTTACGCAAGTCAAAATATTTCCATATCGGCCGCCGCGACTCTCATAGTGATGTAAGACAAGCTCCTGGGCCATTGGTCAGGTCATTTTCAACAGCGCTTCAGTGGTCTCACAGTTTTAGTCCCAGCCGGAAGCCCGAAGCCCTAAAAGCCAGTGACGTGCAGCCCTGAATCTTCAAGCCACCAACTGCAGAACTAAGCCTAAGCCCAAAACCTGGCCCGCTAGCGCTCCTTGGCATACTTTCCGCCTCGCTGGTCTCACCAAAAAATTCGGCCTTCCTGTGCCGGTGCTTCCTGCTGTGTCAGAGGCGTTTCTCCGAGTTGATGGTTGCGCACACTAAGCGAGACCCACCGCTTGGTCGGGATAATGATAAGGCTGTTTGGTAAAGATGCTTAGGGACAACTAGCCGTGTACCTGAATTTTGGAGACCTCGTAAGTGTGGGCTTCACGCATGGCCTTCGACCCAAAAAATCTTCGAACCACGCCAGCTACATGGGGATTTCCCTGAAAAACATTTTGTCGGGACTCTGAGAGTGTCATCGATTTCTCGTTGATCTGGAACTGACTTCTCAAAGAAACTGCCACATGTTCTTCTACAGTGCCGGCTCTGTATAAGACAACATGTCAATAGTACCTGCTCCCTTCAAATGCTATTGCAAGCTGAGAAAAGGAGGGGGTACTGGGTTCTGAGAGCGACATTCTCCTGGTAGAGCAAGCTAAGAATATGAGTGCCCTCTAAGCTCGCTGAGTTGTTTTCTTACTGCCCAACGCTCGCACTGTATACTTCCTGTTCATGAGCCCCACTGTGCGCGACAAATCGAGGAAGCGGCTCACTCTACAAGCCCGGAACCCCTCTGACCATAAACCCCAAATTCCTTTACCCGGGCCTGATGAGGAAGCTGGCAATCACAAAGGCAAAGCCATGAGGCAGCAGAATAGAGGTGGTGATTGGCAGAAACTTGCGCTGCGCTTGTTCCACGATCCGAGCGGCTAAGGATTGCCTAAGTTGGGCGGCAACTGCAGGTGTGGCGTTCTCAAGAGCGCAGTCTCCTGTTTGAATGACTGTTGACCCATATGCTCTACACAGATAGCATCCCCCCTCAGGAAATCCCCTCTTGCAGTGTTCCTTCACCACATGTCTGGCAGATTCCAATGAAGAGTGCTATGTAGAATGTAGTGACTTGCAAGGTTTAGAAGAGATACTTGTTGACTTGCAACTTGCAGCTGCAGCAGCACAGTCTGTAGGCCAAGGTGGTTGGCGGAGGCTGTGGCGGTGGCAAAGAACAGGTTCAACCCAGATTGTAAGCCGAGTTTGAGCCCGGACTTGAACCCAGGGAGGCCGACTTGTCAAACCCCAGATTTTGAATCCGGTGTTCGAACTCAGATTTATAGCCCGCACGTGTATCCTACTTACCGTACATCTCACACCCACTGGCTCTGTATCCGAGTCCGTAACAACTGTGGCTGATGGCAGTGGCAAATTAGGTCATCATTAGAAGATTGTAATATGATTGTATTACGGGCTGGCTTGCTAATGAACTAATACGCCTGGATTTTCCTCTATTTGTATAGGCTAATACAATTGACTCATTTTCGTGGCATTCTAGTTATTTCTAAAGCCTTGGTGTAATAGAATTGTATTGCAGGTTTCTAATGTCAAGCCAGGAAGTCTTCAAGCTTTAGGTCAATTGTATTGGGTTTTTATTAAGATGACCTAGAATTTGTATAGCCTGGAATAAAATTTGTTGCGCTCACTCTTTTTCTTCATTCATTTGATGAGCGCGAAAAGAAGCCCAAATAATAGAATTTTAAAACTTCAGGAGCTCTAATGATATCCCTACAGCCAAGAAGTATCCCTAAAGAGGTCTTGGTGATGGCACCAGTGGCGGGTTGAAAGCCGGCTTCGGCTTTGACTGTTGTAGAAGGGCACCTATCTTTTCACACCCACAATTTTTCAGCCTGAGCCAACTATATCAAAATAATGTGTTGTCGAGCAGCCGTCCGAAGGGGTCCCGCGCAGCTTCTGATTTCCTCCCCAGCTCTGTACTCACCTGACAAAGGCCGCAGGTCACCGATCTTAAGCCACCCCGCCGTGGTACCCATGGCAAAGAGCTGGAAACCATTGCCAGAATTGCGGTATATGCTACTTAGATGAGCAGTGATGCCTGTGTGCATTGGGTTGAGGCTTCTGGTGTTGGGGGCTGGGTCCCAAAACGATGTTGACACAGATCTTTAACCCTAGAGCGATCAGCCCGAATATGTGCAAACATGAGGCATTACTACTATCTCTGAGGTTCAGAAGTGAATACTCACTAAACCCTTTAGTTTCCTGTAGTCAGCTATCCTTTTAGCAGGTAGCCTAAAGGGCACGTAAATGATTTTGCATTTTGTTTTGGGGGGTCTACGTGAGAATGACACCCAGCCCTTGCCTGGAGCAATCTGACCTGGATGGTCTCTTCAAAAGAGCTGTCCAGGGGGCCAATTGAACAGCTATCTAAGGACTCCCAGGACGAGCATGCGGAGGTACTGTTGGCACCTGTGCAAACAGTCCAGGCATTTAAGGCGGATGCGGAAGTTCATGGGTATTTGGAAGCGGGATAACAAGAAGAGATCACCATCATTACGCCCCCCCCCCCATTTGCCCGCGCCAAATGCCCGCTCATCTGAATGTGCTGCGTATAGCAATGTTTTGGTTGTTGTGGATGTGGTCGAAGTGAACGCTATTATGGGTGCCGGCATGGATT